TTTTCAGTTGATCTTGATCTTCAGTGAAACAGCAAACGTTGTAAATGAAATAAACTAACAAAATCGTATTCATTAAAACCTTCTTTACACCATAAATCCGTTTCGGAAACGTAACAGGTGTATATCAGTTGAAGAAAAGGAGTAAAGCAGGTAACAATTACAGTTAGTTTATCATCTTTATTTTACACCATATTAATCAGTTTAATTCAGGTTAACTCCACAAAGGAGTAACAGTTAAGCCTGGTTTCCATATGATCGCAACGATCGCAGTCGCAACGATCGCAACGATCGCAAGAGTGGTTTCCATATGATCGCAATGATCGCAACGATCGCAATAGTGGTTTCCATATGATCGCAACGATCGCAATGATCGCAAGAGTGGTTTCCATATGATCGCATGGAAACCAGGCTTTACAGCGCTTCATACAAGGGTCCTCCCGGGGGGTCCTCACGGGGAGTTACTGACAGTGGTAAGATCTGTTGTGAAATGAAGACTCAGTGGAATACTTGTTTATAATTTCCTTCGGAAGAAATGGTGGTTATTGGGTTTGTTGATAAGGATCTGGTTATGCGTGGCTTCTTTTTATAATAATAATAATAATCTTTTTATAATAATATTTATTATTTCTTTGATACGTTCCCGTCGTTAGAATTTTACTGAAACCACGCAATGCACTTATACTGTGCGAATCAAAAAAGAGTGAACACTTAAATTTAACTTTGACATGATCGAATCGCAAGAAGAATAGTCAGGAAACTCAAATTTACACTTTGTTTTTGCAGAAAAGCTTTGCGAAAATAGCAATAAAATAAATACAGTAACAAATAGACGAATTTTTGGCAAAGGAAAATCCATGCTTAAATCAAAGTGTTCACGCTTTTCTGATTCGCACGGCTTCGAGTTGAACAAGCTTTTGAGCGAAAAATGTCAGACCAAAACCTGGTTTCAAAATTCTAAAACCAAAACTACTTCCACATTCAGCCGCCATCTCAGTTTAATCAGTTTAATTTATTCTAGTGCCAATAGTCTTCAATTGATGGAAATTTCTATGTCGAAACCGAGATCTTCGTTTTAGAAATAAACTGAGCGTTTTGATAATTGTTTACTTGGTAAAAAAATCTTCTTCAAGTCCAGATGTAATAAATAAAGCCTAGATAGCGGATAAAGGGATTGGAAACGTCCAATGTAAAACTCATTTGGATCACCTGTTGTCAGATGCTAAGAAACGCACATTCCACTGATGCTTAGGGGAGGGTTACACATGGCGGCGGATTTTTAATATTATTTAGTCTTGCTCCAGTTTCTTTAGTAGAGTGGAATATAACTTTTAATCTCCACTTGTAAAACATATTATAAAACTTAAATCAGCCGAAGAACAGTGTAAAACCCACTTGGAATACCTGTTGTATAGTTTAGTGAGGATTTTGTTTCATCAATTTATGGCTACTTTGTGCGAAACGTTGTTTCGAATGCGTTGGTGGATTTGAAAATAATCACCGTCTTTTTTTACAAAGCTTATGTTATTTGGTTTCTCCGCCAACATTTACATGTATAGAATTTAACAATAAATGCATTCCTTCTGAGTAACTGAAAATGGCTAGAGCTGTTGAGTAATGGACCCTCGCATAAGATGATGTGTCAGTGTTTGAGAATATCAGAGTAATAATGCATGTTAAAATACCTATATTCGTAATTTCTAAAGTTTTGTTTTAATACATTCATGGCGTCAATGTCTAGAAACAGTTTTATGTTTAATTGTATTGCTTAATTGAGTAGCTATTTTTGGTTCGTTAATAACTCGATCTCTTATAAACAACTTTTCTCAAAGCGCTGTTTTCAAAAGGTTTCCAACATTTACATGTAAATTATTTTAGCTTGGGAATTATTTATATCTCGAGTAGTTACGAACACATGTTATTGTTTTATTTCATTTTCAATGCTGTAAAAGATTTTAACGATATACCGGCCGACTGTCGTAATTTAAATTCCTTATCGCTGTTTAAAAGTAGGTTAAAAGGCATGTGTTAGCTTGTATCTTTCAGTCGGTCTTTTAAATTTAACTGTCTACGGCTGACAGATCAGCCAAGACACTGCAGGCTTTTACAAACTGTATTCGCAAAAGGGATATAACTCGCTTAATGGACACCGGCTGTAAGGGCTGCATCCTATGCTGCACATAATGCCCTTCAAGTCATATTTTTTTTAGTCATAATTTTACAATTAGTTAAAGATTTTAACACTTTTTATATCACTGAGACTACAATAACATTTTTATATCACTTATATATATTCTTATTGTATTAATATTAGTATTAGTGTAGTTTTTTTTAAGCAGTGTCCCCTAATTAGTATGGTATATTATTACCAGGCTACAAGGTTCTTGACACTTTAATAAAGTTCTCATTCATTTTAGGATAGCTTTTTACTAGTAACAAAACCGGAATCGATAGATTTTTAACCTGTTTTTTTATCCCTATTTTATTGTATTGTATTTTAGTTCTTTTAATTGATTTCTTGTTTTGTATTTTTATTTTACTTTACAGGGCCCCATTGAAAAACACAAATGTGACATGGGCTCCCTGTCAAAATATTATTATTATTATAATGATACTTAAAAAGTGCCTTTGAAAATAACATTTCCATCTCTTTGTTATTTCATACTAATATCCAGCCTCTTTGATACGTTTTCATTTTATTGTAAAACCTTAAAACTACTAATCCTAAAAAAGTGTTGAAACAAATCCTCGTTTTCAGAATTCGAATAAAACATTCTGATAACTAATATCTTAGCTGTGGAAGGTTAGGTACATTTCGTCATAAGAATTTTACTGAAAGCACGCAACGTACTTATTAATGAATCAAGAACATCTTCAAACGTAGTCACTGACATATCCTTGTTATCTTCGTCTTCAAAGAATAATTCTAAGGATAAAACAATTCTATATATAGTTGCTTTGTCTCATACGATAGAAACAACGTTCGCATTTCAAAATCTTCTGTTCTAAACTTAACGACAACGGATGTCCAACAATTAAACATGTAGTAGGAGCTCTTCTTTCTGTTATAAGATTTTAATCCACAGGTGCGTGTAGAGAAATGCAGGGTACTTGTATAAAGGTGTGTGTATACTGTGAGGGGGGGGGGGGGGGGGGGGGGGTCGTACATAATTTCTGACTGATTAGAGGGGGGGGGGGATAGCTAAATTCACTCCTTTAGGAGGGGGGTATTACCTAATATTTTCCTACATGAAGCCCATTTTCCACACCCCCCACCCCCTTCCTGATAATTATTGCACAGTCCCTTATTGTTATTATAATTTCAACCCGCGTGAGGTATTTTTGAGCCTTTGATTCGACTTTGACGTCACTTTCTAATTAGTAACCAAGTCTTCAGAAAAAGGTCTAGCAAAATGGCGGCGGCAAAATCTCGGGAAAAATTCAAAAAACATTTAGACTTCTAATGTTCGTAATGGGTGGAAATTTGGCAAGAGTAAGAAAGTAATATTATTGTACACGAAAATGTAAAAAAATGAATATCAACAAGTTTGATCACAGGGGCAGTTCAAGTTCCAATCAAATCCAACAATTTTGGCTGATTGATTTCATAACTTATTAAATGACGACCACAGAAGACAATTCTTATGCCCAGCGTTTATTTTACTTGTGCAAATTTAAAAAATCCCTTATTTATGTACCTTATGGTCTACAGTATTGCCATACAATCAATGAGTTTAAAGTCACAGTTCTTTTGCAGCTTTCTAAATCAAAAAAATCCTTTCTTCTTAACCAAAAGCAATGACATTTTTTAATCCTTCTTTATCTCCTCAAACTACGTATAGAAAAAATCTCTGAGCGTTATCACAATTAATTCATCCCTAATTACCATAGCTAGAAAGCGAATAACAATCAAACGAATTAGGAATATCTGCCAGTAGCTTGTAGTTGTAAGCTTGCCACGGATCCTTAGACCATAGTTAATAGAAGGAAATTGTTATGAAGCCCGGCAAAGGAGCAAACAAAGAGGCCAAGATTTATGTTGGAAGGTCCATGACCGTGCACATCTTTTGTTTTGCGCTCATACACTATGCATGAATTACGTAATCGCAACGTTTCTATTGGTTAGTTGCTTGAACACACGTAACCACCTATTGTATTTTGTCAGGGTTTGTGCACGGGAATCTTGGACCACTTTCCACCAGCAAATCGGCTGTCCAGGAACTCACTTGGCGGCAAAAGGACCTGATCGTCTGATGTTGTTATGGTAACATCAACAAGATCACTTAATCCAGCACACCCCCAGAAAGACCAGTTGTTAGCGCCATTATCAGTTTCACAGGACACGTATCCGTACAGATGAACCAGTGACACAGCAGCCAGCTTGCCACTAGTTGGAGCAAGGAACGCGCCAGGCTCGTCAGCCTTCGCCTTAAAACACACTGGAGCCGTATTCGCCTTTACCCAGAGAGCTAAGAGTAACATAGAAGGAAATAGTTATATTGAGATACTCTTTGAATAACAATACAGTGGAACCTCCATTAACCCTATTCTGCCTGGGCTTAGCTTAATTTTCAGTTCTCATGAAATTTAATGCTTTTTACGATGAAATCCTTCCAAAATCTTTGCCTTTTTAGCATCTAAATATTTTTCTTGATTTTTCAAATCAAATTTGGAGATTTTCTGCCATTTCTGAACAATTTAGAAATCAAGATTTAGGATCCAAGATGACGGATTTTTTTAACGGATGACGTCATTATGGCGTGTATGACGTCATAATTGACACGTGACTGCCACTAAAATAAATATTGCTCCATGTAAGTTTAATTTTCATAGCGTCAATACTTTCAAGATACATAGGAGGTGGGCACTTTCTGCCCCCCCCCCCCCCCACCCCAGGCTCACGAACGAAAAAAAAGTCCAGGCAGAATAGGGTTAAGTAGTACTAAATCTTGGTGACACTGCCCCCTTTAAGCAGGCGTAAAGAGAAACCTGAAAACAAATTCCGGCTTGGACGGGATTCGAACCCAGGACCTTGCAATTCTGGTGCAATGCTCTTGCCAACTGACCTATCAAGCCCGCTGGGAGCTGGTCATTTTGCGAGTTCGTATTATACCCGTAGATTGAGATTTACTCTTTGTTTGGCAAAAACGCTGAAAAGGGAACTCCCATCATCAATACTATGCTACTCCTATAATATGTTTAGTCTTGTTTTGCGTTTTTTGTACCAATCCATTATACGATTGTTAAAGTTTTGATGGCAAAATGTATTGTGAACAAAACCCTACTTAATCAGCATGATCCTGATTACCTCCAACTGAAACTGAAACTTGGCTTTTGAAACAAGGTGTTTTTTTTCTTGGAAACTATCAGCAAATACCAAACACTATCAACTACTGACAACTACTAGCAACAACAACCTGGTGAATTCCCAGTTTTCGCGAGTATTAATTTTCGCGATCTAGCAAAAAACGCGAAAATAAAGACGATTTTGCAAAATTTTAAGCCTTTGAGCCCTTATTTTCTCTGAAATTGCAAAAATAAAGCCGAGAAAATTAGCCATATTATTGTATTTCAGACAGCTACGATGGACGACTGGAACAGGTTAGCGTGACAGTTCTCCTGAATCAAATTCTAAAATGTCGCTGATTGATTCCATAACTTATTAAATGACGACCACAGAAGACAATTAGTTTATGCCCAGCGTTTATTTTTATGTGTGCAAATTAAAAACAATCCCTTATTTATGTGCCTTGTGGTCTACAGTATTGCCATACAATCAATGAGTTTAAAGTCACAGTTCCTTTGCAGCTTTCTAGATCTGAATCCAAAAACCCTTTCTCCGTATCCAAAAGCAGTGAAATGTTTTTGATATATTTTAGTTATCTCCTCAAACAACGTATAGCAAAATCTCCATAACTAGCGTTATCACAATTAATTCAGCCCTTAAGACGCGAGGTCAGGGAAAATGAAGCATTGAGTGGCAGAAGTTGAAAAATCGATTTCCTTCATTTTTTGCTCATAAATATCCATTAGGTAGGAAAGATACCTGATGTAGTTTGTTTCCGCCAGAAGCCGTTTTCTTTTAAGAAAAATAAGAATATCGGTTTTCGTTTCCGACACTCAAAATGCTCAAAGTTGAACCCTGAAATTCGCTACTATAAACTATCCTCGCGTTCGCAAACCAAACCATACAGAGAGCTTTGGACACTTTCTAACGACAGAAAAACTATTTTTCATCCACTGGATGACAATTTTTATGGCTGTAGCAAAATGTACCATAATGAAACAATTCAAAAATAAGGGGGAGGTATTTACGATAACAGAAACTCTCAAGTTAGGTAGACATTTTCTATGGCACAATTCATCATGTGGTATAACTCCAAATTTTCTCAATCCTCGCTTAATCGCACATTTAAACATTAATCTAAAACATACCTGAGAATTGGCTTGGGTTCTTTAAGGCATTCTCTTGGAGACAGTATATAAGTCAGCCAATATTTCGATGTACCACGAAATTAACGTATTGACGGGTCCACATTCTTTCGTTCCGAAACAAAGCGAAACAGCTATTTAAAGCCAAATATTCTCTTGTTTCTCCTTTCTTGGTGATTGTCTTTTATAATAGTCCTTTTCTTGCCAAAAAACTGAGAGCCAGGAGTCCACAGAATCGATTGTTGTACTGAGCTTCTCCGAAACGCATAACTCTCGCTTTGACATCCAAATATGCAAATGTGGGTAGATTGAGTCTGCGCAGTCGACTTCTTTAGTCACGGAGTCTGGGTAACGCAATATAATTCTTTCCAGATAATTTGCATATCTCACAGCAATTCAGTTCGGAGAGGCTACAAAAATCGATTCTGTGGACTCCTGGCTCTCAGTTCACTGACAGTCTGTGTGTATATAATTGGAACAATTCTTGAGAAGTCGGCGTTTACTGTTTCTGTCCATATTTTGACACTGTAGCTTTTATCAATCAGAGCAAACATTTGTTTTGTTGGAGTGCCTTTGCATCGATGGAGTATCTTGCTTCCTCTTACAGTGGTTTTCAATCGAGTGTTGAAAATAATCGCGCAATTGCCTTGCTTTTGCTTTACTACGCTCTATGATTGGTTTAAAAAACTCGCGGTCAGATGCAAAACCAATCGCGACATGGTCGCACTCGTTTTTCCCGCGATCGGCGTTGGTTAAGGGTAATTGGCCATTGGATGCTTTGGTTTTCGTTATACAACCCTCAATTGAAAAGCGCTCTAAAGAGGGAGGTTGCAGTCAGTAACGTTTGATGTGTTTAGCTTTGACGCAATTGATTATTACAAATATAGCCTGATGCCTCAAATAGTCACACTGTATAACTTGCAGTGTTTTCCAAGATCTTTCAAACTATTAAGCCGGGGGTCAAACGGCGCACGATAGTCGATGATAGTCCATGATAGTCGACGATAATTGAAACTCGTGCTCCCGTTCAGTTTGACCACCAACTATCATGCACTACCATCAACTACATTCCCTTTGATCCTGTTCAAATTCTCCACGATAGACGATGGTAGTTTTTCCCGTTTGACCAAGGGGCGCATTATGGTTCATGATGGTTGATGATAGTTTTAAGGGAGAATTTGAGTATCATGCGCCGTTTGACCAGGGCTTTAGTGATAACTCACAATCCGTTTCTACGGTCGGTCGCCGTTTTCGCTTCCTAGTTGCAACATGAGGTCGGATTAGGCCTCACGTGGACTAGTTATATATAAAACATATTAAAACTAAAGCTCAGAAATGTGTACATAATTTAAGCCGAAAACAGAATTGCCGGAAACTTTCACTGATTATGCTGCACGTACTACCTTGACAAATTATGCAATACCGACATAATCAATAGACTGTGAAATGACAACACTGATGATAATAGTTATAATAATGAGGTGGTTTACACTTGAAGTTTATATATACGGCATCATATATAAACTTCAAGTGTAAGCCACCTCATTATTTCAGTCAGCAATTAGTTACATCAATGCTCTCATTGTCACGTTAGCGTTCAATGAGGGTGAACGAGGATGCTGGATTCTCAGTTATTAGTTAATTTTGACAGATCTCATTCTTAGCTATCAGTTCTAATTTTGGCCAATTCTCAGCTATCAGTTAAACCCCCAAAAGGCAAAAAGGATTTGTTGTATTGCACAAACTGAGCGTACCCGTGATGTTATCGAAAGCTCTCCTGAAATGCTAATTAATTTGGTTCAGATTCAAGTTGTAAAGTTTTTATCTTAGGTAGGTCGTCTTCTGTTGGGACCAACGATGCCTTGAACGGCTGCAACAATGCTAATTAATTTGGTTCAGATTCAAGTTGTAAAGTTTTTATCTTAGGTAGGTCGTCTTCTGTTGGGACCAACGATGCCTTGAACGGCTGCAACCTGTTTTGTTTTATTTAATTGGTGAAAGTTTGCAACATTTTCCCAACCGTTTTTGGTTGAAACGGTTGATATCTGTTTGGACGTAGTAAGTTCACTGTTTATGAACATTACGTCAAATATGTTTTGTTATCATTCAAATTTGCCAAGCATTAAACAAAAGAACTCTTTGTTTCAACAGCCAATAGTTCTCTGGTTGGCACATTAATAACAATTGGTGACGTAACGAGAAATATCGCTATTGGAAAAACAACTAGTTCGCTTCTTCTGCTTCTGCTCTTTCCGTTTCGACATGCAGAACTTAAAGTGCCCATAACCTTTTTTATTTTATTTTCTCATCTGAATCTAAACATCACCCAAGGAAAATTCTGCGAAAACATTTTGCGATTTGCACAAAACGCGAATTGTTTATGAATTTTATAAAACTTTCAAATTTGCCGCCATTTTGGATCACCATTTGCTTTAGTCTCCCTGGGTCCTTCTCGGTTCACAAAGGATCTGTGACGTAGATTAAGGAACACGTGACATCAGACAAAGGAACTGTGACGTAGATTAAGGAACACGTGGCTTCAAAACAAAGGAATTGTGACGTAGTTTCAGGAAAATGTGAGCCCGTCGGCCTTCTTACAGCGGGACGGGTATACCAAACAAAAATAGGATTTTGAAGATTTGAAACATTCATAAAAAATTCGCGTTTTCTGCAAATCGCAAAATGTTTTCGCAGAATTTCCTTGGGTGATGTTTAGATTCAGATGAGAAAATAAAAAAAAAAAGGTTATGGGCACTTTAACCATGGCATGAACATATGCTAATTTGTTCGGGATGCCTTCAGTCTTTATGCACAGTCAAAATTTCAACCTTAGATATCAAGAAACGGAACGGAACAGAAAACCGGTTTTTATTGATTTGGTTGAAGTTTCCAACACTTTTCCAATCGTTTTGAGTTGAAACAGTTGATAACTGTAAGGTCACGTGTTCCATTGGGATCAACGGTTGGTTGGGTTCATGGGTGTAATCGGGTTCCAGATTTCTGTTAATTAGCCTGAATTGAACAAATCCAGCGACCGACCGACTTTGATGCTCGGGTTGAAAACGTTGATCAACAAAACAGACAAAAATAGTTTTCTCCTAATATAACACAAAAATTAAAAACCCATCTAGAACCCGGCCTTAAGTAACCTCTATTTTTCCATTAATTTTATAAAAATGTTTCCATCCGTTTCCTAAAGTTGGCTTCTTCTGCTCGTTCCGTTTCCTGTTGAGTCTTTGTGTTAAAATCTACGAACTTAACCATGGCATGAATAAATATGCTAATTTGTTGGATGTTGAGTCTTTATGAAAGTTCCAATCAAATTCTAAATGTTGCTGATTGATTTCATAACTTATTAAATGACGACCACAGAAGACAATTCTTATATTTTATGCCCAGCGTTTATTTTTATTTGTGCAAATTAAAAACAATCCCTTATTTATGTACCTTACGGTCTACAGTATTACCATACAATCAATGAGTTTAAAGTCACAGTTCCTTTGCAGCTTTCTAGATCTGAATCCAAAAACCCTTTCTCCGTATCCAAAAGCAGTGACGTGTTTTTTGATATATTTCAGTTATCTCCTCAAACAACGTATAGCAAAATCTCCATAACTAGCGTTATCACAATTAATTCAGCCCTT